GCCGGGGAAACGGAACAGGCCGAGCCCGGGGGGGCAGCGAGCTGGAGGAGCCCTGAAGGGAAAACGCTGCACGGAGCCGCTGCAGGCAGCGCCGAGCTACCGAGGACAAGGCTCTCTCTGGTGGGACGAGGGCGCATTGCAAGACAGCCAGAGCCTGGAGAAAACACCACAGGGGTGTGCAGCAGGGCGCAGTTAGACGAGAAATTAGGAAGTTCTTCACTGTGAGACGCTGGCACAGGTTGCCCAGGGATGTAGATGTGGATGCCGCATCCCTGGAGGTGCTCAAGACCAGGGTGGAGGGGGCTCTGAGCAACCTGGTCCGGTGGGAGATGTCCCTGGATGATCTTTAACATCCCTTCCAGCCCAAACCATCCAGTGGCACAGCCCAGTGCCCCCAGCTCCAGCCAGGAGGATGGGTGAAGGTTCTGGCTGCTCCAGCACTGCCTGGCACATTCAGCTCGGGCACAGGAGCTGTTCAAACCCCTGTCAGAGAAGGGTGATTCTTGGCTGAAGTCAGTAAACAGGGCCCCAAAACTGGTGAGACATCAAGAGAGGACAGTGGAACTGAAAACAAGGCCACTCCAAGGTGGTGGCTGCCTTGAAGACACACGCAAGAGGACAAGGGTGTCCCAGCCAGGCTTTGGAACGTAACAGAGGGAGGTGACACGGAAAGCAGGACTCCAAACCAGAGCTGCTGCTGGCCCACCACCACGTGGAGAGCAGCCAAGGCTCTGGGAGGACTTATTGTCTAGCACCAGATGACAGAACCCCAAAGGCAGTCACTGAGAGTCTCCAAGGACCTGACGGGTCCTCCTTCTGCTGTCACAGAAACAAGAATTAAGGGTTGTGGCTTCAAGAACATAATGAATAAAGATCTGCAGTGTCCTGAAGAGCATCTGCAAGCTGGCAAGTAAGCTTGCTTCCAAGAACAGCTAAGTCTGCCCACCTGCTGGCTGGCCAGGCAGCTTTCCAACCACTCCACCACCCGAGTGCCCTGCTACACCCTGTGAAGCACCAGCCTGTCCTCAGCAGGCTCAGAGGAACAGGTCTCCCCTCAACAACTTGGCAAGCAGAGTCTTTGGACTGTTGACTTGAGAAGCTTCATGCCCTGTGGCTGGTGCAGAACAAGTTCCATGTTTGCCCCAGCCTGACCTTCCCCATCTCCGAGCCTTGGAGCAAACACCAAACAGGAGCAGACAACTGGAAGCAGAATCCATCTCAGCCCATCTGAACGCTGCAGAGGTGAACTCCTGGCTGTGCAGAGCCAGCAAAAGACGGCTCCTGGCTCCTGATGAAGGCAGAAGACTCCTTGCTGTCGTTTGAAGAGGCAGCCCAGGTCTCCCTCAGCACCACGGGCGACCCAAGGCAGGCAGGGGGGATCTGAACAGGAACCGTCCCCGCCGCCCGCCTGGTGCCCAGCCCAGGGCAGCTCTTCAGCTCACAGAGGGATGGGGCTGTGCCCCCAGCAAACACAAAGCTGAGCAGTTCTGAGCCCAGAGGGGGCCAAACCCCCTCTCAGGTCGGCTGGTTTGGCCCAGGGCTGACTGGGCTGTGTCCAGGTGCTCTCACCCCGCCGCACGAGCGTCGCTGCCCGTGGAAGCCCAGGCTTGAGCCTTCTCCCAGGCTGCCAGCACCCTGCCTGGGCCCTCCAGAGCCTCAAGCACACCAGGGTGGTTTACACGAGGACAAGGGACACTGGCAGCCCTTCCAGAGGCAGAGTGAGGAGAGGAGAAGAGAAGCAAAGGGACCGAGAGGGGCGCAGGCACTGGCGTGGTCCGGAGGGCTCCCCAGGGCAGCGGCTGCTCCTCACCCAGCCCAGCTCCCAGGAAAGCTGCTTCAAACACAGGCTGTCTCCAAGGCTGGGGACTCCTGGGGCCTCCCTCAGAGCACAGGCAGATCTACTGCTGAAATCACACCTAGGGAAAGCATTTGGCTTGGGAAGTTCTAGAGTTGTTGTTTAATCCCGAGACAGCGCAGCTGAGTGAGTTGAGAGTTTTAAGTTACAAAAAAACAGAAAGCACTAGAAAATAATCTTGATACAAGAGCAATAATCAGCTGAGGTTCCCCACCCTGCACGGGGAATCCTGCTCCACGATCCGCCCAGCACAGCTGGGATGCTGCCAAGGCATTGCTTGTTCCCAGCACAGGCTGGGATGGCAAACTGTCCTGGGTGAAAGTCACGTGGGGGAATCCCCAGCAGTGGGAGTTAAGATGCTGCCACCAGCTCTGGTTTTGGCTTGTTCTTGATGGGTGACGCTTCTGTGGGAGAAAAAGAACCTTGTTACAGAGAATGCAAATCACCTCCAGTCATCCTCTGTGTGGAAGAGTCAGGGCTCATCATCCACGTCTCCGCCGAGCACCGAATGCCACGTACAGCACCTGGAAAAATCACTGGCTGGGAAGAGTTGGTTATAAAAAATTCCACAAATCAGGCATCCCCTTTTCCACAGCACCTAAAGAATGACAAGATTCAGAACGCCTCCAACCCCCAGCCCAGTGGCACAGGCTGAGGGCAGTGGGCAGACAAGCTTCCCCCCCACCCCTTCCACCCGACCCGAGTCTAAAGAGAGGCTCAGGCAGCTGCCCCCAGCAGGGATTTTGTTTGGCCGTCCTGCTGCCAGCACAGAGGTGACATCTGATCCCTGTTCACTCATAAAAAGACACCAGCCCTGCTCCCCACGTCCTGGATTCCTCCTGGGCAGGTTCCACACCAGCAGCCTCTCCCAGGGGTGCCCAGCCTCTGCAGGGGTGATTCTGTGTCCTGCTGGCCCAGGAGACAGACCCTTCACCAGTCTCCTTTCTGGCACCCAGCTGAGCCCAGCTCCACCTCACTGCTGGGCTCTGAGGGCACCTTCTGATGCAGGGAACACCAACAGCCGTGGCTCCTGTGGCACAGAGGGTGGGGCAGCAGCTGGGAGGGGGCAGAGTGTCATCCCCAGGCCACGCAGAGCCCAGGGAGCAGCTCCTGAGAGCTCCACAACAGAACCTGCTCCAAGGCTGCTGGTTGTCTCCCAGCAGGTACAAAGTGTGACTGAAGGACAGCAGATGAAGCAGCTCTTGGAGAGGAAGGAGATGGGCACTGAATGAAGAGGCTGGAGCTGAGTGCTCTCAGGGTGAGGGCACAGCTGGGTTTGCCAGGGGGGAGGCTCACAGAGCCCAGCTCAGTGGGGCTGACCCTCAGGAAGCTGACACTCCATCCCACGTGTGGGACATACAACAGGAGAGGAACTCAGCCTGTGGCATGGAGCTAAGAAGGAGAAGCTAAAGCTGCAGAGTGCACAGAGAAATCATACCTGGGATCTTCTCTGGGAGTGGCTCGGAAGGAACTTCTGGAAGCTCCATCTGTTCCTGCAAGGACATCAGAGAGACCAGGCAGTGCTCCCACACCCTCACACCTCAGTTCTGTGCCAAGACTCTCTGGGAAGAGTCCTGATGTACAAGATTTCATGTACAGAAACCTGCCCCAGAACTGCAGGAAGGGTGATGGGCTTCTGTGCTGCCCAGGAGAGGAGTACAAGGGGTGGCTTTTAATTACTGGATGAGACTGGATAGGACCCTGTAACAGCTCTGAGTCTCCTCAGAGCCACGGGAGCTGCTGAGCCTCTCCACTGGCTGCACATTTCAGAGTGGAGCCAGTGTCTGGATGAGCCACGGGCACCAGAGATGGGTGGGGATGAGAGCACAGAGTGACTGCTGCTGGCTGAGCACCACCCAGGGCTCTGGAGACCTTCCCCAAGTGACATGGAACCAAAACCCAGTGAGAACAGAGAGCAACAAACTGGAACAGGCAGCAAATGAAGCACAACCCTTAAAGGAATCCCACTGCTCCATGACCCCAGTGTGTGGAGTGATCAGCTTGACCTTTGAGGACACAATAATTGGGCATAAACAGGTATAACTGAGATCTCTGGCAGAGGAAGATCAGCTTTAGAGAGTGGGAAAAAGATACTTCCTCCCCTACAACAAACAGCTTCCTGAGAATATGAATTTAAAGTAATTACAAGAACATCACTCCTACCTGAGTAATAGTGTTTAATTCTTCTAGGATGGCATCTTCATCTTCCTCAGTCAGGCTGCCAGCCAGCAGCTCATCTATTTGCTGCAACAGAGAGGAAAAAAAAAAACCCATTTCTGTCAACAGTGGTGCAGCAGGAGCAGCTCCATGGCTGCAGCAGGGCACACACAGGAGAGCAACACAAACATGGGCTCAGGGGGTACTCAGGAAAACTGGCACTCATTTTTCTGCAGCTAACTGAGATTTAGTTCCCAACCCAACTGCCTCTTAAACACAGGGGGACCCACAGTGAGCCCCAGGGGAACTCCACGTGGCAGCAGCCTCTGCTCCCACCCAGTACTCACCCTCTGGTACTCCACAGCATCTTGGGTTTCACCTATTATCCTTTCTACTTCTTCTATTGACATAACCTGAAAGGAAAGAGCCAAAATCCAGATGTGAGGGAGGTGTGCAGGGAAAGGGCCACACACAGACAGGACTTGGCTGAGGCCCAGGCACACATCTGGGGCATTTTAGGCACACACCTGGGGCATTTTAGACACATACCTGGGACATTTTAGGCACATACCTGGTGCATCTTGTTCAGACACTCATTTCCTATTTTCAGGCCCTCAATGACCTTCATTTCAATCTGGGTGAATTCAATATCCTGGACCTGAAGCAGAAGGGGGAAGGGGAAACATCAGAGGCTGCCACACCCCTGGTTTTTGGCCAGAGACAAGATTGCCAAGAGAAACTGGGAGGAGAAGCCAGTCAAGAGCCCTTCCTCTGCTGACCAGAGGACTAAATGATACCAGTAAGAATCAGGCACACAAAAAGCCTGAGCACAGGCAGCAGCAAAAGCCCATCCAGCTGATTTTAACCCATCTTCTAGCTGACAGTCAGAGCTGAGGCCATCCTTTCCAGGACAAACACACCCATTTCTGAAACCAAGCTACTGAGGCAAGCCCAGGGAAGTTTTGACAGCAGTCCACCCCCTGACTGACACTTCACTACCTCACAGACCATGTATTTGGTCTGGAACCTGGGTGACACACTCAGAACACCCTCAGCACTCGGCCCTGTTGGGAAGAGCCACAGCACAGGAGGAGTTCAGAGTCACCAGCCCTTTGGGTGACACCAAACCCCTGTCAGGGCAGCTAAAATGTGGCTCCCCACCAGCAGCAGGACACCCACCCCAGAGGAAAGACTCACAGCAGGCACACCCAGGGCTGGCTCTTGCTTACCATCCTCTCCAGGTTGCTGATTTGGTTTTCTGTTTTATCTAGAAGTTGTTCTTGGTACCTCTTCTTCTTCAGCAAGAGCATGGCTTTCCTGAGGGGAACAGGAGGAGGGAAACTCAGCACTGAGGAGAGCAAATAAGCCTAAATAATCACACTAAAGCTGTGTTTGTTTTGTGCTTTTTCCAGAAGAGGGGGGGAAAAAAAGCCACGTGCACATTAAATGACAGCTCAGAACTGCTCCCACGAGGAGGAAGGATGAGCAAATTAATTGTAACTTCATTAAGCTGGTGCCTGAGAATGGAGGGGTGTATTTGTTGTGGATCAGGGCTTCATGGGCCAGCTATGGTGCCCCACAACAAAGTCCTTGCACACAGGACTCGTGGTGCAAACAGGCTGTAAGAGG